TGCTTCTTTGGCAATTGCTGGCCCCAGTGGTTTCTCCGGGCTGGGGATTCGAACCCGCCATCTTAGGTGTATGTGGCTGGCGCCTTAGCAGCTTGAGCCACAGGCGCCGAGCCATCAAAAGATATTTTAAAGAAGAACAATCCCAGCCCATGAACTCTCCCCACAAGTGGAGATGTTGCTGCTTCTTTGGCAATTGCTGGCCCCAGTGGTTTCTGCCTGCAGGCCTTGAATCCCATTTCATCCACACCCGCAGGTGCCCCAGGACTGGCCTCAGAGGCTTCCCATCCTGGGTCCTTGCCCCATTGCTATGGTCAATTACACAGTAGGCCCCAAGCAGGGCCCGGGCATCATGGGGTCAGTGCTGGGGGCTCCAGGCCTGCTCTGCCCTTTCCTTCTGTCCACTGCCTGGGCTGTGGGGTGTTGGATGCTGCCTAGAGCCAGTGCACATGAGCAGGGGAGTGGGCCCGGTGTGTGGCTGGACACAGATAGGGGAGGGAGGGTGAAAGCAGATGGGTCTGGGGGGAGGTAGGAACTCCAGGGCCAGATTCAGAAGAGGAAGGGTGGCATCTCTTTGGCGGCCATGTCCTCTCTGTCCTTCCCAGCCCAGCCTGACCATACTGTCACCTCCCATACTGACAAGTGACATAGCCTATTAGCTGTCCTGAACTCTGCAAACTCAGGCCCCCCGCCTGCTCTCCACGGGGTGTCCTTGGACCCCATACTCCTGCCTGCTCTCCACAGGGTGTCCCTGGACCCCATACTCCTGCCTGCCCTCCACAGGATGTCCTTGGACCGCATACTCCTGCCTGCTCTCCATGGGGTGTCCTTGGACCCTGCACCCCTGCCTGCTCTCCATGGGGTGTCCTTGGACCCTGCATCCCTGCCTGCTCTCCATGGGGTGTCCTTGGACCCCTCACTCTCTTCACCATTCCTGGCACCAGGATGCTCGACCAGGAGCTCAGGAGGAGATGTGGGGCATGAGGGTGATTCCAACCCAATAAAACGCCAGCCAAATTCAGGGAGCACTGGTCGAGACTGAGGATGCCTCTGGGGGCCTTTGTTCCCTGGAAAGCCCCCTCCCTCTGCCCCACCATTCCATAGAGGCCCAGCCTGCAGCCTTCCCCCCCATGGCTGTGTGTGATGCCTGGTCCACATCCTCACACAGGCCCAGCTCCTCCTCTCATCACACCCCACAGCCCAGCACGCCCTGCCTGACGCCACTGCCCGCCGCACCTGCAGCTTCAGGTGTATCTCCTCTGGCATCTCCTCCCCGTAGGACTTGAGCAGCTTGATGGTTTCCTTCAGGGGCTCAAACAGGTTGTCAGTGGCCGCCTGCCTCTCCTTGACCTTCATCAGGTGCCCCATCACCTCCACCAGGCCGTCATAATCCCCCTCTCTGAGGGGCTTTGTTAAGCCTGTCCTGGCGACTTTCATGAAGGACTCCAGGTCAGCAAGGCTAAGGACAAAGCCACCATCTGAGATGGGCTACTCCTCTTGGGCCCTGCCTTGGGTGAGGAGCTGTCAGAGGAGGCGGACAGCAGTGAGGGGCCCCACCTGGGTAGGAAGAGTTCCTGGTGACCCTGGAAACCTCCAGCTTATGGAGCCCCTGCCTGCACATCACCCCAGCCACCTGCCCCCCAGCTTAGCTCAACGTGATCACCAAATCCAGCTTAAGGCCACATCTCAGAGAAGCCTTTGCTGGTCTCCTAGATGGAAGTCAGCCAGGTGACACACAGCACTGCTGTGTCAAAGTCTTGATGGCTGCCTGTATTCCACAGTTCCTGGTCTGTCTGTCCAGCATCAGCCCCTACCCCAAGACCCCTGGCTCTTAAAGCTTTCCAAAGCACCTGGGGCCCAAATGCAGTAAGTGCTCAGTAAACAGGGGAGGGAGTGGAGTGCTGGCTCACAGCCAGGGGACATCTTTCTGCTGGGACCCTCACGTGGGGGATGGTTCTCACCGAAGCCTGACCTCTTCCCCCACACCTGCCCAAGGTGGGCACCCAACAAACACAGGGACCTCCTGCGGGTGCCCTTTGCATGTCTCTGGGCTCTCCTGGCAGCGGGAGGTAGGCAGCTACAGTCCCTGCACCCACCTGTTGATGACGTGGTTGATCAGGTGCCGTTTGAACATGAGGCTCCAGCGCCTGATGGTGCTGAGCAGGGCCTGCTTGAAGGGGCGGCAGTCACACTGCAGCCAGCCGTGGAACACCTTGGTGTTCTCGCACTTGGACACCTCCTCATACAGCTTCTCGTAGGAGTCAATCTGGAAAACAGCCACCACGGGCCCATCACAGCTTGCAGGCCTGCGGGGGCATCAGGCACACCTGTGGCCGCTCACCTGTTGGCTGCTGTGGGGGTGGGGCCACAAAGGCAGGTGCCTGGGATGTGGTGGCCAGGGTGGGGGCTCATTACATGTTATTTTTCCTTCTCCAGCACCCCAGGGGTCCTTCCAGCTCTGGCAGTTAACCCCAGAATGGGATATTCTGCCAGGAAGGGACAGAACAAGCAATGCCCCAGGACTTCTGAAGCAGAATAGGATAAAAGCTTTGAGAGGTGAACCTGGTGTGGGCTCCTAAAGGGCACCCCCTTAACTCATCCTTCTTTGTGCTATTTTATATCCCGGAAGCTCTCAAATGCCCTCAGCTGCCCCTCACCCTGTGTGGCAGAAGGCACCCCCTGGACCTCACAGGTGGTTGCTCTCAAGGGCTCTCTCACCACACCGTAAACAGAGTTCATGTAGGAACTATGATTTCTTATTTTCTGCAGCTGTCAGATGAAATGTTTTGGAAATGTCTCTTAGTTCAAAGTGCATTTTAAAGCCAATGTTTCTTTTCTTTTTTTAATTAGAGATGGGGTCGCACTCTGCCACCCAGGCTAGAGTGCAATGGCACTATCACAACTCTAACTCTTGTGCTCCAACAATCCTCTCGCCTCATACTCCTGAGTGGCTGGACAATGGATGCGTGCCATTATGCCTGGCTAATTTTTTTTTTTTTTAAGAGAAGAAATCTTGGCTCAATGCCTGTGCTCAAGCGGCTAAGGTGCCAGCCATGTACACCTAAGGTGGCGGGTTCGAATCCCCAGCCCAGGCCCACCAAACAACAATGATGGCTGCAACCAAAAAATGGCCGGGCATTGTGGTGGGCGCCTGTAGTCCCAGCTACTTGGGAGGCTGAGGCAGGAGACTTGCTTGAGTCCAGGAGTTAAAGGTTGCTGTGAGCTGTGATGCCATAGCACTTTACACAGGGGGATAGCTTGAGGCTCTGTCTCAAAAAAAAAAAAAAAGAGATGAAATCTTGCTGTATCGTCCAGGCTGATCTTGAATTCCTGGTCCTAAGCAATCCTCCCACCTCAGCCTCCCCAATCACTGGGATGAGCCACCATGCTCAGCTAACTCTAGTTTCTTTGTTGATTTTCTGTCTGGGTGAAATAAGGTGAGAGTGGGGTCCTGAAGCCCCCAACTATTTTTGTATTGGATTCTATCTGTCCATTTAGATGTAATATCTGTTTTGCAAATCTGAGTGATCTGGTGTTTGACGCATATTTGTTTAGAACTGTTATACTCTCTTGCTGAATTGATTATTATTATACAATGACCTTCTTTTTCTCCTTTTACTGTTTTTGACTAAAACTCCATTCTTTGTGATCTAAGTATGGTCCCTCCTGCTCCTGCTCACTGTCGTTTTCTGTTTGTGTGTACTCTCTTTCTGCCCCTTCACTTTCAATCTATATTTGTCTTTGTAAGTGAGGTGAGTTTCTTTTAGGCAACAGATAGTTGGGTCAGGGTTATTATTATTATTTTTTTAACCATTCAGCTAATCTATATCTTTAAATGGAGACTTTAATTCATTTACACTCAAGGTTATTATTGACAGGTGTCACTTTCTGTATTATTGATGCTCTGATACCTGGGCCCTTGCTGGCCCTGGAGGAATGGCCTCTCCCAAGCCTGACTAATTTCTAGGGATAGCAAACAACTCACCTGGGAGCTAACCAGGCAAGCCAGAGCCCATGCTCCACCTACCCCGCTTTATCAGGCTCTCACAGGGTCTTATACTCTGGGGTCCATCCATAATCACCCCAGGGCCAGGCCCCAGATAACTCAGGAAAACCCCTCTAGCCTAGAGCCTGCTGAAATTATTGGAATTAGCCAATATTTAGCCTGCTTACTCTTCCCATTCCTTCTGTGGAAACCACAGTGAAGGTTCTTGCCTGAATTTCCCGCTGCTCCCTCTGCCTTCCGATTGACCCAGGAGCTCCCCCCACCAACATGGTCCTGTATGGCACGGTATGCCCCCTCCTTGGAAACAGTGAATAATAAGTTGTTTTTTCAGTGGCAGCCATCTTCTGATCTGCCGGCCTCACCAGATCTGAACAACAATAAAACCTACATCTTAAAACAATTCGCCCAAGTTTTAAATCCTTTACTGGAAGATTTTGGAGATAAGGATGCCAGTGGGTGGGGTCTGCACTCACCTGCTGCTGAAACTGAGCAAGGTTAGGTGGTGTCTTGGGAATGGTATCCTCTGTCCGGGTGTCCAAGTCCTCCGCAGTGGGCGGATGCCCAAAGATCAAGAAGTTCTTCATGAACTCCTGGGGGTCATCCAGCCAGAGGTAGGAGTACCTCTCAAAGGAGTCCTGGTACTCTTCAGCCTCTTTCATGGCATTGATGACCAGGCTGGACAACTCCTCCCGAATCTCTATGAGGTCTGTCATGTCCTCCAGATCCGTCTGAGAGGGGGCAGGAGAGATGCAAATAGGTGTGGCATCTCTGTTCTTGCCTGACCTAGACTTGTTCTTCCTGCCTTGGAAAGTGGCTTTCTTTTGGAGAAGGTGTGGCTAAGCTCTTACGACAGGACCCAGAAAATATGGGGCTCATTGTTAGGAATTGTGGACTGTGTGTAGATGGGCTGGGGTCTACCAAGTAACTCTCCTCTTTTATAAACATTTAGTTGTAAAAAGATTTTTTTAAAATGTTAATGAGAAAAGTTAAACACATCTCCTCCAACCTCCCTTCCTGGGGGAGATGAGTTCCTAAGCACCCCCAACCTTGACCCTGGCCTAGGCACTCCTTAGGGCATGGTGGGTGTTTGGTGCATTTGGAATGGATGGAGGCATGTTTGTCGCAGTGCCTGCGTGCTGTGGCAATCACAGTGTTCAAATTACAGAATGGAGTAACCATCAGGAAGATTCAATCGCACTCTTGGCATTGTGCTAGGGGTGAGGGACGGTCAAGGAAAGCCGCTCTGGGGAGGAAGATGGATTTGGCAGGGGGCACAGGGACTCGGGTTTGTCACCTGGGGAACCTGACAGTGTAGGTAGCTCCTCACCACATTCAGAACCATTGTCATTGTGAACGTGCAGGGCCGGGCATTGCCCAATGAGGAAGGTGATTCCAAACTGGGAAGGCAACTGGTGACCATGTAGGGAGAGTGGGTCAGGCCATGGGAAGCCAAGACTGACCTTGTAGCTCATCCTGCCCTTAGCCAGCCGGGGGATGAGCCTGGCTACGTTGTAGATGTCGTTGACCAGGCCCTCAATCAGCGCCAGGAAGCCACGCTCTGAGCCCACCTCCAGGGACGGATTGAAGGTGAGCCC